ATAAGTGGGATGTGTGCTCTCCTGTCCCGCGGGCCAGCTGGTGTTTCACGGGGCGGTGCAGCGCTTACAGGCGGCCGCTCCCCTTCCCGCTGTCTTCCCGGTGCTGGCAGGGGAGGCTGCGAGAGGGACGAGGAGGAGAAGGAGGAGGAGGAGGAGGAAGAGGAATAATGAAGCTGACCCGGCACTGTGAGTATGATGCACCCCGGAGCCGCTCCGGGCGGGATGAAACCCCCATAGCCAAGGGGAAGGGGCGAGAGCGCTGATGCCAGCTCAAAACCCAGCTCTTAGTCTGGAATAAGTCATGCTCGAGTCTTAAATATATCCTCTTTTTTTTAGTTTTTTTTTTTCCTCTGTTCGAGCCCAGCTGCGTGCAGATGGGTGTGTATTAGCGAGGTGTGGCTGCGTGGGGGTTTGGAATCAGCTACAGAATAACCCAGAATACTGGGCTTACATTCAGTGATTTAGTCATTGCCAAGAGGCACCTGAGGGTCAAGGGAAATTGGGAGTTGCTGAAAGGTGGAAATGCTGACAGAGGACCCGCGGGAAGGGCAGGAAGCTCTCTCCAGGGAGAGGATATATTGGGATAGGGAGATATTAGGAGAGGAAATATTAGGATTTTTTTGGGAAGGGTTTTTCACCCAGAGGGTGGTTGGGCACTGAACAGCTCCCCATGGAAGAGAGGAGCACTGAAGGGTTTGAACAACGCTGTCAGGCACAGGGTGGGATAGTTGGGATGTCCTGTACTGAGCCAGGAGTTGGACTGGGTGATCCTTGTGGGTTCCTTTAAACTCGGGATATTCTGTGATTCTGTCATCTTTTCCTTATGCTCTGCTGTTTTACATGTCCTGCCACACCTCCATCCTGACTGTCCTTCCTCCTGGCTTCTCTCTGCCACCTCCTCTGCCTGGCACCGTGAGTATTGTGAGTGTCCCTGCCTCATGACAGTGACAAGATGCAACTCTCAGGGAGCTCCTCCGTGGCAGAAATGGAGTGAGGAAGGCACAGCAACACCTCTGCAGCTCAGTGTCCCCATGTTGCTCCTCGGTGCTGAGCAACCACTGCCTCCAATATCAACAAAAGTACAATCTGACTGTCCTGCATGTAGGCTGCACTTTGTGTTTTATTGTGCTTTAGGGTGCTGTTGATTATCTTAACTTTGTCTGAGCTTATGGCTTTGCTGTTAACTCTGTAGAAGTTTGCACAGTGGAGAAACCCAAAAATGAATGCATGTGTGCAGGATAAATAACCTCAGTAAACCTAAGAGAGCCAGCTGGACCCAGCAGTTTGGGTCAGTGAGGTCTCTTGGTGCCTTCTGAGTCCCAGAAAGCAAAACCAAAAGTTGGTTGGCAGTGAAAATATTCTGTGAGTTTTGAGAACCAGGTACAAACTATGCAGGAGAGTTGGGAAATGTAATCCTCGAGCCTTAAAAGGCATTTTTCAAAAAATGCTTAAGAAGCTTGTGTTCTAAATAAAATACAGAATATATTCTAGGTTCACAGAACTATTCAGGTTGGGAAAAACCTCCAAGATCATCAAGTCCAGCCTTTGATCACCACTCTGTAAAATAGAGAGTAGCACTGAGTGCCACATCCAGTTGCTTCTTTCACTCCTCCAGGGCTGGGCACTGCAAAGCTCCCTGGGCAGCCCCTGCCAAGGCCTGAGCTCCCTTTCCATGGGCAAATTGCTGCTGCTGTCCAAGCTGAGCCTGCCCTGGCCCAGCCTGAGGCCGTTCCCTCTGCTCCTGTCCCTGTGCCCTGGGAGCAGAGCCCGACCCCCCCGGCTGTGCCCTCCTGGCAGGGACTTGTGCAGAGCCACAAGGGCCCCTGAGCCTCCTTTGCTCCAGCCTCAGCCCCTGCCCAGCTCCCTCAGCCCCTCCTGGGGCTCCAGCCCCTGCCCAGCTCCATTCTGGCACACTCCAGCCCCTCAATGCCTTTATTGTAGTGAGGAGCCCACAACTGGACACAGGGCTCGAGGTGTGGCCTCACCAGTGCCCAATACAGGCAGGTCCTGCTCCTGTGGCCACCCTGTTCCTGATCCAAGCCTCAGCCCATTGATCCAGCCTGTCCAGATCCCTCTGCAGAGCCTTCCACACTCCCACCCAACCTCGTGTTGTCTGCAAACCAAGTGTGCAGTTGATCCCTCGATCCCCTCGCCCAGATCATCAATGAAGACATTGAACCTGAGCAGCCCCAGGATTGATCCTGGGGGACACCACTCATGACTGGGTGTGGCACCATCCCCCAACACCCCCTGAGCAGACAATTCTTAACCCAGGGAAAGATGCACCTGTCCAGGCCTGGGCTGCAGCTTTTCCAGGAGATGTGTGGGAGATGGGAGTCAAAGGCTTTGCTGAAGTCCAGGCACACAACATCCACAGCCTTCCCCACATCCCCCAGGGGGGTCAGAAAAGGAGATCAGGTTGGTCAGGCAGGACCTGCCTTTCCTAAACCCTTGCTGGTCCCTTGGTTATCATGTTTGTACCGTGTGATCACACTCAGGATAATCTGCTCCATGATTTTCCCAGCCACCAGGGAACAACATCAGGCATGACAGCAGTTAGACTTTGTACTTCCTCTTCTATTTAGATAAAATGCTGCACTGTTGAGACTGTTTTGCAACAGAGTTGCTCCATAATAATGATGAAAAATAGTGCAAATACATTGCAAAGGTAAACCTGCCAAGCTAACTGTGGAATGAGCAAAACAAAACCTGACTGGTGCTCTCACACATCTTTGCAATGCACCACGCCCCATCCTGTCCTCAAAAATCGTCACTGAAATCTCTCAATAAAATTGGCATTTTCACTTCATTCTTCCAGGGTTTTGTCTTTGAAACTTGTGACTTGGCCTCCTTTATGAATTAAATATATTTTGTGTATAAATCTGGTAAATATTTTTAATATTGAAAAAGAACTAAGGTTGGTGTCATTCTGCTTGGTTCCAGCAGCTTCCTGGTTTGTGCGTGTGGACTTTGTCAGTGTTTGTGTTCACATCACTGCACAAATGAAGTGTCAGAGTAATTTCAGTATTATTTTAGTGTGGGTTTGCACCACTGCTCGTGGTGGAGTGAGAGATTTCTCATGAGTAATACGTAGGGAAATTTATAATAGCTGAAGATCCATTACATTACTTTCTCAAACTTAATCCTTTGATGAAAACACAGCAAGTTTTCACAATATTTTCCCTGCAGTCACACAAATGTTTCTGCAATGTTTCATTGGGCTTTTTTATTTTTAAAGCTGGGAGAATGCAGGAATAACCACGTGGAGAAATACAAAGAGGGAGTAGCTAGAGAGGAAAAAATCAGTCTTTATGGTGGATTATCAACAGAACCTATGTGAATAAATTCTGCTCTTAGGGAAAATAAAAATCAAAGTTCCTTCTGGCATGAATAACCAGAGTAACAGAATTTTTTAGAATTTGGATGCAGACCAATGGGGCAGAATTCACAGGAGTGGCAGAACTTGCAAAACAGGACTTGAGGAGGACAAGTGAAAAATCTGGCCTTATTCTAGAGAAAGGGTAGGGCAGATATCTTAATGTTTATAAAAGGCAGTTCAAAGAAGGAAAGGAGAGAATTTTCTTATGAGTGTAAACAGTTATAAGGAAGGTTCAGACTGGATAATACAAGATATTTTCTAGAGAGATGGAAAAGTAAACATACTGCATAGTTTTGGAAATTGGTCCTGTTGAACTCAGTTTTCAGGACTACAAAATGAATAATTTTCTCTTTTTCCACTTTAACAAACCCTTGTTTTCAAGGATGGTTCTTTGCAGATCAGGAAGTGACTCATACCTCTAAAACAACCTATTCCACTACTGCAGTGTGACATTTCCTAGTTCAGCATCATAAATTAGGTGGTGTGTTTCATCAGGAAAGCCATCAGCACTTCTGGTGTTGAGGAAAAGCAGATATTCAATAGGAGGAGGAAGCCTTTCACAACAAGGGTGCTAAAACACTGGCACAGGTTATCCAGGGTGGTTGTGGCTGCCCCATCCCTGGAAATACCCAAGGGCAGGCTGGACAGGGCTCTGAGCAGCCTGATGCAGCTGAAGATTTCCCTGCTCATTGAAAGAAGGGCAAATTAGATTAATCAATTAGATTGAGGGTCCCTTCCAACCCAGATTATTCTGTGATTCTGTGAATGCAATGAGAGCTCATTGTGTGAAAGGGATTGTTTGGGCTATGCTGTTTTTACCCAGCCTGTTAAAAACGTGGGTGTAGGGAATTCCCTGCTTGGTCAGTATTTAAAACCATTCCTGGAGTGTTTGCATGTCTCAAAAAATCAATAGTAACTGCAAAACACCTCTGTAGTAGTAGCACTTACTTTTCAGAGTCAAAATCCTACTAGGATTGAGTTAAACTTTACTTCTTTGAGGTATTATGGATGTGGATTGAAGAGAGTGATTGGGGGAATTTTCTGCTTGAAGATCAAGTTTTAGAAACAAAAGGGGTTGTCCTTGGAGACAGGAATGCACCAAATAATCTATTGCCACATCTCTGAAGGCTCTGGTTAGCACAGTGAATCAAACAAAAACCAGCCAGTTTGGGTAGCAGTGCCAGAAAAAATAACAAGATTTTTTGTGTTGCTATGAAAACATTTTTATGGTTTTTGTTGGGTGGGTTTTTATCCCTTTTATTTTCCCCTTCACAGTTGTTCTGAGATTATTTGGATTCCTGTTGACATCCTCGGCCGCTTGGTATTTGGGATACTTTATTGCTGCTCATGTACCCCAAAATACAGTATCTATTGCTGCACTTCAAGAGATTGGAAAGAAACCAGTGTTGAGGGGTATGTAGTATTTATTTCCTTTTTTTTTTCTTTCTTATACTGTATCTGATATTGTGTATTTATGTGCTAAATAATAAATGGCTTGTTAGCTAAGAAATCATTTGGTATGTGCTATTATAAGAATGAAGTTGCCTGTAAAGTTAATTAAAGCAAAGCTAAACCTTAGACACTGTTTTTGAAGAAACACAATGTCAGCCTATTTTTGCAAATGTACAAAGGTAATTATTTGAACACTGATGTAAGAACAACTAATTTATTTGTGGCCAAAAGAGTGTAAAGCTCCAGCTTTGTTTCTACTGCATGTAATTTATATTTATGATAAACAGCTGAACCACTAACTAAACTGTGTGAGTAAATTCTCATTATTTTTTAGCTCTACTCTGACCAGGTGGTTTACTGTGTATATTTTCGTCATTCTATGACTAAGTTATTATGTGAAAAAAAGGCTTAAAATAAGAATGATAACTATTCACTTCAAACTGTTGGTAGCCCTGGTAGCCCTTGTTTCCTGTTATGTGGAATAGCAGATAATAATTACCTTATTTCAATTATACCTATTTGGAAATCAGTGATAACTTCCAGCCCAAACCAACCTGTGATGAAGTTGCCACGATCCCAGGATTCTGTGTTCAGATGTTTGAGTTCAGCAACGTTGACTTTAGAGGGTTCTTCCCATGTAGAAATTGTTCATGCAGCATCCAATAAAACACTTTTTCACCTTTGCTGTTGCAGCCCCAGCCCCCAAAAGGCAGAAGTGTGACCTCTGGGCCCCCTGCCCTCCTGGGAGCTTTGCCTATCGCATCCTCAGTGGTGGTGGCAAACAGAGGAGGCCTAAAATTTGTTTTGAGGATGAGGAGTGAGTACCATTCTAACTTTACACCTAAGCCAGTGCTTTGTACTGTGAGCAAAGGTGTTTGGGTTTGGCTCAGTAGCAGCAACTGAGCTCCTACCAGGGGCTCCATTCTGGTGGAAAACTTCAGAATTTATCTGACAGTATTTAACTCTTCTTCTTCTGTCTTTTTTTTTTTTTTAACCTAATCTCCAGTGATTTTCTTTGCTCTTCTACATAAGCTGCAGACAATTGTTAGTTTTCAGCAGGATTTTTAATTTTCATGGTGCAGGATAGCAGATTTACAGAATGCTGGCTGCTCAGCACCTTCTGAAAGTCAGATTCTTTCACAGCTCTTCAAACTGGACAGGTGAAATAACTTCATAGCCTTCAAAACCAGTGACCTTTGCTGGAGATATAATCCACAGAGAGTACAGTCACAAAAACGCCTCATCTTGTTTGTTTTGGGTTTTTTTCCTCCTTTATCTTCCTGGCTGCAAATGTATGAGATATTTTCTTGATCTGGCACATTTTGAAAGAGTCATTGTTTAAGGAAACTGACTGATACACTGTGCAAGGTTTTCAAGCTCTTGTTTACGATAGAGTTTTGAATTTAATAACTGAAGAAAGCATAAGTATCAGAAAATTACTTAGCACTGGTAAACATAACTTTGCAGCAGAGCTGCTGGACAGGTGTCTTTTACTGATATTGTATATATTTCAATTCCAGGTTTATAAATGAAGAGAATTACGAAGATGGAAGTGGCATAATCATTGCCACTGTGAATTGTAAGTAAGAGAAAAAAATGTTAGAGAGACACATACTTTTGTACTGCAATAAATTACCAGTGTTCTTGGGGGGGATTGGATGTTTTGTTTTGTGGGGTTTTTTACCAGCTAGTATAGAAGGGAAAGGAAAATTTTGCAAACTTGATTCTCATTAATGTAAGAAAAACAAATCTGTGTGATAAAAACAGTCTTCTGGGTAAAGAAAACAGACAAGTTCATAATCAATAGAGGAAAATAGAATAGAAAATGTGCACATAGATGTGGGGTATTTTATTAGACAAAAGACTTGTAGCACAGCAAGAATATCTGTGATCTCCAGCAGCAGGACTCAGCTTTCAGCTTCAGTCCTTGATAAATTATATCTGCTGCTCACTGATAAGGAGGAGGCAGGAACTGAGAGCTGCAGTTCTGCCTCAAGGTGTAGCCATGGTTCAAATTCCTTTTCCAGACTTGTTCAGGATACAGAAAGACAAACTTTAATTAATATTAAACTGCCATTTGCTTACAGTAAAAGCCAATGGAAGCAGCAGGTGTGCTTTATTCTAGGTTTGGAGGCACCTAAATCCTAAATTTTGATTTAGATGAATGGGAAGGGTGATGAAGTGCAATGTATTCAATAATGAGTCCAGGAAAAAATGAATGCCTAAATCTTGTGGAAGAGGGGATAAAAAGGGAGTCCACAGGCACAGTCAAGCTGGCTTTGATCACAAAAACTTATATTTTAATTTTTTTGTCTCACTATTGCTAAGCAAGATCTTGACTTTGTCTAAACTTGTATGATTTTGCTGAGGATTAAATTAACCACTGACAAGAATCTGTTCCAAATTTTTCCCCAGTTAACTACTGCCTTTTTTTTCCAACAATCATAAAATCTTTCCTGGGTATAAAATACAAAAATGAGTTTAAAATGAAAGTAAAAGGAGAAATACTCATCTTGAATGCACAAGCAAGATGGTAGCAAATAGAAGCAGGTAAATCTGTTCATTATCCTGCACCAGTCTGTAGCAAAACATATTTTTTTAAATGTCCACTATTTAGATCAGGCAAGATAACGACTGTTCTTAATAAGTGCATTATGGATGGAAGGTTAAACATATCAAACACTGCACAGAATAGAATTAAGTTCATTCAAATAGTCTTAACCAATTTTCCTATCTATGGCTGTGACTTACTGTAGAATATTTAGATATAAAAACATGGAAGCACACACCAGAAAATTATTTTTTTTAAATAAGAAATAAAATTTTTAGTCACATTTGATGATTCGGAGACTACATGAAACAAAATATTCTCCCCAAATCTTAAACTTGTTATTTCATATTTCTTCCAATTAAAGAACTGAAACAAAAGAAGCCAAATAATACTCAAAATTAGGGATGCCTAGCTCTAGCTGAAAATTCTAGGTTTGCCTATTGAATAAAATAATATTTGCTCATATTGAGATTTTTTTTTTAATTACAGATAAAACAGGAAAACTCATGTTGATAAATTTTTTTGAAATGTGGGCAAGAGGTAAGGAAAAGAGTCTAACAAAGCTTTTGTTAGTGTTTCTGCCTTAAGAAAAGACAGATTCATGTAATTATCCTCCTCTTTCCTGTTTGACTTTGTATTCTCAACAGGGATCAGCTAGAAATAAACAGCTGCTGTGTTCATAAAATATGTTCTGGCCAGATATGATGACAAATTTTGCCTGAAAAGCTGAATTTCTTCTGTTGGTTGAGATAGTTAATGATCATTTTTGTTAAATTATCTTGTTCTTTTCCCTTTTGTTTTTTTGTTTTGTCTCTTTCTTTGGTCTCCATTATTTCAGTCTGGTAGGAATAGCACTTAACCAGATATGATATCCAGATACTTCACTCAGCTAAATTCTTTTTCCTGCCATATCTTGTTCTATTTTAGTTATAAAATCATCATAGAAAATTTGCTTATCTGTCTCTTAACATCCTTCCACATAGCTGGAAAGATTATCTACTTTAAGAATAGCTTTTAACACATTTTCTATACTTTGAATGGCAAATTTCCTTACCTGTTAGTGAGGAGAACCAGAATGCTCTGAGGCACTGGAAGGTGATTCCCTGACTCCTTAAAAATGCTGCTGACCATGGGTGCATGAGTAGGAATGTGATGTGGGTGCCAGGAATAACCAGCTGTGTTATTCTGGTTATTCTGTTCTTCTAATCATGTGTGTTATTATGACTCCACAGACCACTCAAGGGAGATGATGGATTTCATCAGGAAAGCACCAGAAGGGACCCTCCTTCTGATGGCCACTCAGGATGATGGCAGCACCAGGTAGGAGGTTATGGAGCCTGAGGGGCAGAGAGGTGAAAAGCTGGAAAATTCATGTTGGGAATTGCTGTAAAGGAATGGTAAATTCCACTCTACACTCAGAGTTGTTCTCTCACTTCTTGTCTAAAAGTTTTAATTCCATGTCTTTTCCATGATTGCACACATCTGTGTGCTCCCTAGGATGGGTAAATAATTATGTTGTTTAAAAGCACCCCAAAGGGCACTGCTGTTGCCTCTGGGTCACAACCTTCTTTACTCTGAAATGTTATTTATCCACACCTGCAATTATGATGTCTCTAGTTTTCTTTCCTTCTACTATCATAATCTGATTTTTCAGGTGCTTTTGAATCTTTGGGAGATTTTAGCTGAGTTCATGATATGATAATTATCCAGGAAAATACTTAATCCATGTTTGATACCCTTGTCCTTATTTAGGAAGGACTGAAGCACCAGACAGTATTTGATATACATTTTCCTTTCTGCTATGCTGTTACAAACAGGTTGTATTAACATCAGTCACTTACTGAGAAGGAAAAAAAAATATAAATTCAATTCTCTCGATGAATTCAATGTCATGCTGCTACCACAGCTCTCAGACTATTTAAATCTCATTTTTGCTTCTGCAGGCTTAATGCTGGATGTAAAGCATGAATCAGCCATGATCTTCTTCATCATTTTTCACATCCTGAATTTTTAACACTCATTTTTTCACTATGTTTTCCTAGGTTGAATGATGATGCCAAAAAATTAGTAGAAGAACTGGGAAGTAAAGAAATAAAGAATATAAAGTTCAGATCAAGCTGGGTTTTTATAGCAGCCAAAGGCTTCACGCTGCCAGATAATATCCAAAAAGAAAAGGTCAGATTTGTTTCATTTTCACTTTATATTTGTCTGTATATCCAAACCAAAACTTTGGGAATAACTTGCCCACAAGTTTCAGGAGGACTAAAGATGCTGTTTTTCACAGAGATTTCTGTTTGCATCTGTGCCCTTGCTGTGTTGAGTTTCTGTAAGCCCAGTGGTGCTCATCATGTGACTGAGGCAGACAGAAATGAGAAAATCCAACACAGAGTTCAGGTCCTTTGATGATGCTGTGTCACTGTCATATTTCCTGACAAATCCCTTCGCCAGGATTTCTTCTCCTGGGAAGCTGAGAAGCCCCCAAGAAAAATGAAAATAATATTATCTCATTTGCTTCTCCTGTGTTTTGCTGCTTTGGAATGTGGTTGGAGATTGTTTATCCAACATGTGAATTGTTTTTCCTTAATGACCAATCACTGTCCAGCTGTGTCAGGACTCTGGAGAGAGTCACAGGTTTTTTATTAGTACCTTGTTAAGCCTTCTGTCTGTATCCTTTCTCTATTCTTTAGTATGGTTTTAGTATAGCATTCTTTAATATAATATAAGTACATAAAATAATAAATTAGCCTTCTAAGAACAGGAAGTCAGATTCTCAATTCCTCCTTCATCCTGGGGAACCTGAAAATACCACAATGCTGATTCCCTCCACAGCCATGTCAAAGTTCTACTGTGGGGCTCTTTTCCCAGAATATCACTGGATCACAGAATGGTCAGGCTGGAAGGGACCACAGGGGACAGCTGGTGCCACCTCCCTGCTCCAGCAGGGCCATCCCAGAGCGCAGGACACAGGGCTGGGTCCAGATGGCTCTGGAATATCCCTAGGAGGAGCCCCCAGAGCCCCTCTGGGCTCTGCTCAGGGCTGGGCACTGCCCAGGGCAGAAGTTGTGCCTCCTGTGCAGGGGAATTGCTGGGCTCAGGCCCTGCCCGTGGCTCTGGGGCCATTGCTGGGCCTGGAGCAGAGCCTGGGCCTGCTCTGACCTCTGCACACAGGGACAGACACAGGGACAGACACAGGGACAGACAGGGACAGACCCAGGGACAGACACAGGGACAGACACAGGGCCAGACCCAGGGCCAGGCAGGGCCAGGCAGGGCTGAGGCCCCTCTCTCTCCCTGGGGCTCCTCTCCAGGCTGAGCAGCCCCAGCTCCCTCAGCCTTTCCTGGGCACGGAGCTGCTCCAGGCCCTTGCTCAGCTCCAGGAGCTCCTGGCCCTGCTGTGCTGAGGAGCCAGAGCTGGACACAGCAGCCAGAGGTGCCCCCAGGGCTGGGCACAGGGGCAGCATCAGCCCTGACCCCCTGGCAATGCCCATCCCAATGCACCCCAGGACACCATTGGCTTCTTTGGTCTCTGCTGGGCAGGGACAGCTCATTGTCGCCAGGTCCTTCTCCACAGAGCTTTTTCCCAGCAGGTTAGGGTCATCCCTAATTTGTGCTGGTGCAGAATATTTTTGCAATATTCTTCACATTTCAGAGCTTCTGCTGGACAAAGATAATCAGTTTACTGTATATCGTGATAGCCATCTGTGAAATAAATAAAGCACTCTGTGTAAGAGAGAAACTGGCAGAAACTTCACCCATTATGTTAAGCAAGATGTGCAACATTCTCCTCAGCTTCCCAATCCTCCTTCATTATCCCCTCCTCTTGTATAAGGTTTGACAAACTGGTATATAAATAGAAAAAACTAGATACTGATTTTTTTTTTAATTGTTACAGATAAACCACTCTGACCAGACAAAGAACAGATACAAAGGCTGGCCAGCTGAAATCCAAATAGAGGGCTGTATTCCAAGAAACCTGATCTGAACAAATGCATACCTCATTAATAAAGACAATTCTATATTTTTATACCTATTACTGTAATGAATTGCCTCCAGAACTCAATAAGCATATGAACACCAATTGTACAACAAGTCAAATGCACAGTTTTTAAACTATCTTTGCTCTCTGTGGTTTTATTCTAATCTGAAAACAAACAGGTGTTTTGATAAGAAGAGAAAATAAAATAGTCTGGTTTGGAAATGCAATGTTCAGGAACTCAGTCATAAAATGCCAGGATTTTTGAAAGTGAGTATAGATTGTCATTAATATTTCTAGGGCTTTGGTTTTACTTGTTTCTTTTTCTTATGTCTTTTTTTTTTGGTTCCCTTTAAATACTAATAAACAAACAGGACTTAGTCTAAATTGTAATCTAAAACCATTTGCAATACAGCAAATTACTTTGATGTCAGTTTATTAATAACATTTCTTCTGTTCACAGAAAGTAAGGCAAGAGCAGGCACATTTGTTGAGCTGCTTTTAGTGATGTTAGCAACACAGAACAGCAATGCTAACATGTAAAGATCCAGTCACTCGAATTATTTTGCCAAATTCAAGCCGCAAATCTACATAGTTTGATTTAATTTTTTTTCTTCCTTTAAGTTCAACTTACATTAAAAAATGTAGGGACTTCATGCGAGCCTAAGGGTTGCTCATGTTAAATATAGAATCAAGCACATGATTGAAAGGAAGCTGTAGAAACGTTTATTCAATTTCCCTTTTTTTAAAGCATAGCATGTGTCTGGACTGGTCTTAAGTGGTGTTTGTCCCCCTGTGGTTCAGACATCTCCCATATGGCTGATTCCATAATTTAAGTTGCTTCCTGCAGCATTCCACTGTTATTCTAATTATTCCCCAACCATATGGAATTAACCCAAAAGGACCAAGCCAATTACATGGAGAATAACTCATCACTATTCTTTTTATATCATTCCATGATGTGTCTGATGATTGTCCTCATCTACTCCCTCCTGCCTAAACTGAACCCACCTGTTTTAATATTTCCTTACATTTTTTTTGATGTTAAAACATTAGTTCTGTGGTTCCTGCTTGAAGCCCCTTTTGAAACTTCAAATGAAGCTTGAAAGCTTCAAATCTCCAACCGTGGCTGCTACTTGTAGCCACTGCTGTGCTCTCAGCAGCTTTCTGGTGTTGTGTCTCTCATCAATCCCTAAAGTTTCCTGCTACTGGTTTGTAAACTGCTCCATAGCCCAGGGACACTGCCAAAAAAACCATTTAAATTAGTCTGACTCAATTTGACTTTGGCAGACTCAGTGGTTGCTCCTTAGCACCTTGCTGCTGATGAGGTGGGTACAAACTGAGCACTTCAATAGCTGTTTCAATGTTTTTCCACATTAAGTCATTCTTCTTAATTATAAGAATAATTTTTCGGGTGGTGCTTGTGTTTCTGGCAGGACATTTATTCCTTTGCATCATAATCACCCTTTGCTACATGCCTGAATTATAAAAATAACATAATTACAGTGCTAATGGCTGGCAGTCCTCAAGAGTGCCAAGCTCTGAGACAGCCCTCGAGCTCTGTGCAATCTGACAGCCACTGCCTCCTGCTCTAGGCCACAATTAATCTCACATCAATTACAATTAAATTTTACTTTCATTTCTGTTTAGCAGTTACCATGAAGTACAACATTCTCAGCTTTACATTTGCTCTGCTCTTCACACTCTGTACAAGTGTTCCATTCTTTGCAACAGTAAAAGCTGCACCTCTTTCATTTGAATCAAAGATCAAATCACTCTGAGAACCTTTCACAGCATGAATTCCTGCAAAATGGTCTTTAACCCATGGTGTTTCCACTTTTACAGAGATGAAGCTGAGTCACCTGGGCTCAACTGAAGTGTGTTGATAATCTGCAGTGCTCAATAGCCATATCAGCTTTGTTTTCATTTGTTCATGACATGGTATTTAAATATGGCAAGAGGACTCTCAAGTACTTTGACAACCCTCTGACCTGAAGAAATCATACAAAAGTGATCACTTGCCACTTTTTCGATCACTATTCAGATTAGCAGCAATCTTGCAGAGTTGGTTTGAAAGTGGGATTTTGACTTTGCACCCACAATTGAACCCTTTTAAAGGAACTGCCTGCAGGGAGAAAGTGAAAAGCTTTTTCATGGAATCCTAATTCTGAAAAATTAATCTGGGGGGAAAACAACAACTGCAGTGGTGGAGGTCAATGTTCTCCATGCCAGGTGGTGTTGCCAACCAGAAGGAGCAGGTAAGAAGTGATTTCCTGCATTCTCCTGAGCTGGGAAATTCTGGGAAATACTCCTGGGTGCTTATTACACACATGGGGTCACCACCATGCAGTAAGGTAAAAGCCTGCACAGCAATCCATCTTTTTCTAACCCCAGTAGGCAAATCCCATGGGAAGCCATGAGCTTTAGGCTGTGGCATTGCTCAGGGCGTGGGTTTGTGGATTTAGAAGTGGGATGGCACAGCAGGTGGTAGCAGTGGTTTTCCACATCCTCTGCATCTCTAGAAATACCCAACCTTCTGGTGTTTACCTGTTCTGGACAGACACTGGAAGCCACAGGCACGGCTGGATGTCACCTTGGGTGGACACCAGCAGCTTTGCCCCTATTGTGCCAGACCTTCCTTTCCTACACTTTGCCAGGGGCGGGCTCCCCTTTCAAATATCCCCGGAAGAGCACTCCACACACAGAGGTCCCTCGTACCCCCATGTGGAAACACATTTTAGATGCTCCCATTTTTACCTCCTATGTTAACATGACAACCAGTCCCATAAAGAACAAAGTACCTGGACAAAGTTCCTTTTTTACTTCTCCATTTAAGAGCATGAGAAGTATTTCAGGGTCCTGACATGTCTCTTAAAAATCCCTGGATCCCTGGCAGTCCAATTTGATGGCAGCCATTGAAAATATTGATCAAATAATAAGTAACATTTTCATTTCCTCAGTGGCAACTGTTTCTTCATGTTCTTTGTGTGGTATTATCTAACTCAAAGTGGGAAGTTTCCACTATACTTAAAAGAAAAATAGAAGACAGGAAAGAAAGTGAAAGATCCTCTTTTTGAGTCAGGTTGTACTTAAAGGAAAATTCTGACCAAGAGCAATCCACCCAGACAAGCAAAGAGAAGCTGATGCTTTTAGTTAAACATAGTGCCTAGAGGGAAGTAATGTGTGACTGTGATTTATGTGATCTCTTCTTAGCTGCAGTGAGATGCTGAACGATGACTAGAATTCAGGGGATTGAGATGGGTGGCTTAATGCCATTTGAGTGACAGCAGTTCTTCGTTTCTGGGGATTTGATTTCAGTTTTGGTTTCAGTTCTCTGCTCTGTTTTTTCTTTGGGGGGGTGTTTTTTTGTGCTGTGTTTTCATTTTGGTTTGGGTTAAGGGGGGTTGTTGTTGTTTTTCAGTTGGTTGGTTTGGTTTTGTGTTTTGTTTTGGTTTTCTTTCCAGGAGAGGTTTTCAGCAGCACAGGAAATGTAGCTCCTCCAAAACACAGACTTTACACTGGCAACTCCTTCTTCCAAAGTCTATCCAAAGAATAGACCTTTTGGCCTGTCCTCATCTCCATTGCAGGTCTCATTAAAAATAAAAAAATATTTTTTAATAGCTATGTTTTAGCCAAAAGCAATTCCCATTTTTACCTTGTACTTCTCAGATAAATCCTATGTGGTTGTGCTTTTTATCTCTTAGGAATTCCTAGCTCATAGGAATTCCCTGGCAGTGTTTTGTGGGAGGCTGCTCTTGGCCACCCAACCAGGACAATGACCCCGACAAATGATTCTTGAAGGAACCAAGGGACACCTCCAAACTAGCCGCCCTTGTCCCTGTGGGGGAACTCAGCTTGCCAGGTGCTCACTGGGAACACCACACAGCTGGGCCAAGCAGCCCCAGGAGGTTCCCCAGACACCTGGACAGCAACTCCTCGGTGCAGGGACTCGGGAGCAGCTGGCAGAGGTGCCCTCTGGGATTGGGTGCTCGTTCCCAGAGGGGCTCTCGTGGCTGCTGTGGGATTGTCTGGGCCACAGCGACCGCGCAGCCACCGAGTTTCAGATCTCTGCTGCTCTGCCTGCGCCCGTCTGGCTCCGAGATGGGCCAGGCACAGCTGAGCCTGGCTGGAAAAGCAGCATCTTTTATCCATGTGGCCATGGCAAAGCTGCTGTCCCAAAAGGGATCCTTTCACCTCGTGTGCAAGAAGCCAATCCCCACACAGAGTTCAGCTATTTCCTTTAGTTCTGCACAGAAGGAGGTGCTGGGTGGCAAATCCTCAAAGGCAGCACAGCATCCATCAAAGCTTTAATTATACATTTTAGTGAACGAAGGCATTCGTGTTCATTGGCTACCAGTTATATGGTTCTCTTATTAATTATTTTTAATTCTTTTTATATGTTATGGTATCATATTTAAATATTTAGATATTACATTAATATTATATGTAACTGTGGTGGTTTGACAGGAAATATGTTTTCTGGGATGCTGTGGTGAGGCCAATGGATGCTCAGATTTTAATATTGGCACCGAATGTGGCCATTGGGACATTGGATCCGCCTCTGAGAACATGGGGTTAAAAGCAGGGCTTGCCCTTGGGAGGCTCTCTTGGATTCCGTCAGGGAAAGGTTCAGAGCTCCCCTGCCTGGCTGCGGGCTGGGAGAGGCAGGGGAAGCCACGCGGCCGGGTGAGGGGTGAGGTAGGCCAGGGCCCTGGCCAGAAGGGAGGGGAAGACCCCTGCAGGATGGAAGGGTGGAGGAGCTCTGAGAGGCATCGGGCAGCCACCCCCCACCCCCCCAGGAGAGACAGAGAGAGAGCCTGTGCCTGTGCTTGGCCGGCCGAGAAGGAGAAGGGGGGGGGTGCGAGAAGGTGCCTGGCTGGGCAGCCGTGGGAGTTCTGGACAGACAGAGCCTCAGATTTTTAACCCTTTTCTTGGATGATAGAAACCTTACAAATGCTAATCCTCCTGGAGCTGAATGAGAAGAGAGATAGAGATGAGATAAGAGGAAATGGGCCACGAGAGAAATAGAGAAGAACTCGGGTGGAAGAGATGATGGAGTAGCTTATGC